CGGCGGCCTTCTCGGCGGGCTCGTCGGAGTACTCTCTGCGGTCGATGCGATCGCGGATGTACTCGCGGAGTGCCTCGATGGTACGCATGTTCTCGAGCCACTGGTCGTACTTCTCCTCGCGCTCGCGGGCGCCCTCGCTAGTGTCCGACTCGGATGAGGGAGAGCCGACGGATGAGGCGACGGACTCGGCCTTGGGAGTGGTGACGCTGGAGGAGTCCTCGTAGATGATGGGGGACTTTGGCGAGGAGGGCGCGGCACGCTGGAGCATACCTCCCGAGTAGCGTCTGCGCTCGTTGCTATCGAAGCTGGGTCCGAGCGTGGAGGCAGTGGACTGGCCGGGGAAGACGGAGCTGACGGCCGGGAGATTGGGGTACATGACTGAAGAAGCTGTGGAGCTGTGTCTCGACTGGGGAGACATGCCGGAGGAAGAGGGGCTGGGCGAGTGACCAGATGTGTATGACATGGTGCTTGAGGGAGGAGTGACGGCGGGGGTTCCAGTCGATGAGACTGCGGTCAACGGGGACGCCATGTGAGCAGCGGACACGGGGTAGCCGTCTTGGGTGACTGGAATGCCGGCGTGAGAGCCTCTGTGAACACCCGGGGGCGAGGGGCTGTGGCGGAGATCGAAAGTGTTCTGGCCGTGGATGTGAATTCCTTGCGTGGCCTGGTGCGAGTTCTCGTAGACAGTGCTCTGCATCTGCTCCAAGATCTGATCAATCTGGACCAGGTCGTTCTTGGTGCGGGCGTTGGGCATGGGCGGCAGGTAGTACTGCTGGGACATGGGTCCGGGGCCGGAAGGAGGTCCGCCGGCCTGTTGGTGGTGAACATGCTGCTGAGGCGGGGCTGCCATGTAGTCGGAGCCGGGCATGGGACCGGCGTGCAGGCCGAGAGCGCCGTGAAGGGGGAGAAGGGATCGGCCGACTTGTTGATAGGAGGTCGGGTCGACCTGGCGACGCTTGGCGTGGGCGAAGAAGTCGTCAACCATGTCGAAAGCGCGCTTGCTGCGGTTGTCATAGCCGCCGTGGTGGCCAATGTACTCAGTTCGGGGAGGGTTCAAGGGTTGTTGGTTGAAGTACAGTCCATAGTTTGTAGATGGTTGGGGTGCATAGTAGCTAGCATGCCCAGCCTGGTGTGCGAAGGCGGCGGAGTTAGTCCGAATGTGGCCATTATGATCATAGTAGCTAGAAGAAGCTGGAGGCAAATTAGCCTCTAGTTGGAGAAAATAGAGGACAGACTTTGGAGGGGTGTGCAAACTGAGCTCTACATACCTTTGCCAGGCTGCGCCCGATAGCCGTTCAGACCTTGGTCCTGGGGCGAGCGGACGAGCACCGAGTCATCGGCGTGGGTCTGTCGATGTGTGTGAGCATGATTGAAGATGGCGAGAGTGGTTTGTTGGTTGATTTACCTTGACGTGCTTCTTCAAGTCCTGAGGGCGCTTGAATGACTTGCCGCAGAACTCACACTTGTGAGGCTTAAGAGGAACGTGCACGCGAATGTGAGAAGTGATGTGGTCACGCTTCACAGTGGTCGTCCTGCAGGAGTTCCATTGGCAAGTGAGGTTGAGGTTGTTGGTGCTCTTGCGGCCAACATGGCGTTCGCAGATGTGCTCCTGTTAATTTTGTTAGTGAGATGTTTCGGGTGAAATAAAGATTTAGTGTGGCATTGCCACCACTTACGTAGAGAGCCTCGGGTGAGACAAACTTCAGGTTGCAGGCGTTCCACTTGCAGATGAGGTTGTCCTCTGCACTGGTGCTGTTGGCGGACTGGGAAGTGTTGCTGGTTGTTGTTGAGGGAGCGGGGGTGCTGCTCTTGGGAGAGTTGCTCGCAGAGCTCTCATTCTCTTGTTTGGCGGACATGGTGCGTGACCGGGGTGTGTGTATGTGTGCGTGAGTGTTGACCGAGCTGGCGGGCTCGGTGAAGAGAGACCGGAAGATTGGAATGTGCCGGGTCCCGTGAGGCGCGTTGGGATTGGATGGTTGTGTAAGTAGGAGTGGGGTCCTTCTTGATGCTTCAGGTTGTAGATTGCCGAGAACAGGCGAGAGTATACTTGGGATACTACAAAGCTGAACGGGGAGAAAAAGAGACGGTCAGCAATGCTTTTATGTTTTTCTGCCGACTATCACAAGACTGGGTGTTCTCGAGGGAAATCAATCAGTCTGATCTGGGGGGCATGGACGATGGGCTCTTCTCTTTATTCATGAATCACATTTCCTCTCCGCTCTTCCTACCCTTCCAAGAGTCTTGGCAAAAGTCTTGGCGACCGGGGCTTGTGAGACCAGCCGACTTTTGATTGGTCCGAGGTGGCGAGGGCTGCCGAGCTGATGTCGCGGATGATGGGGGGAGACAACAAGGCAGGCAAGGTGCGTCAAGCCTTGCCTGGAATTACACTGTAGTCAGCACACATCCTTCTAACAATTTTAGCATGCAAACACACATAAAAGAGATAGCTGAGGCTCAGCAGCACAGTCCAATCCTGATGAGAAAACAGACAGCACCCACTGACAGCGCAAGTACCTCGCCAACACCGCAACATCCGGGCGCATACGATGCCAAGACTCTGGCTGTCTTGGGGCGTCTTGGCAAATCTCCAGTTTTCACTCTTTCTCCCTTCGCCGAGACCTTGGCATTTGCACTTGGTTCCTATTGCTTCATCCTGCGAGCACCCGCGTCCATTTACGTTGGTCAATAGCTCGCCATCAGCTGATGACCGCAAGCGCAGCGTTTGATTTCCTGTCCTCCTTTACTCGGCGGCGGCCTTCGTACCGGTATGGTTCTTGCCAGCTTTCTGGGAAAATCTGGCCTTCTTTGTTCCTGCCACCGGTTGCCACGCTCATGGGAATAACGGCGGCACGCACCCATCATCGATGCGGCTCGTTGGGGATGTTCCTCAAGACAATGGCCATGTATTAGGTATTTCTGTCTACGGAGTACGGGTCACAACACTCTGTGTCGTCTGAAGAAAAAGCCTGCGACCGTCTCAGATGAGGGAGCACTGTTTCCAGCCAAGCAGGTGAGCCGAGTATTTTTGGGCCTTGGATTGCTTGGGGTCTCTGGGGGTCTTGTGGGGGGGGGGGGGTGACCTGACGGGACAAGAGTCCAAGACTGACCTGTCCTGAGAAACAAGCCGCCAAGTACTCCCGTACCTGATGTCACGGGCAAAGCAGCCGTCGCACTGAAAGTACGGAGTACACTTTCAGGCGACCAGCCAGAGAGATAGGACGATTAACAGGACATGGGAGATGCCTGGTGCCCGATTGACAGGGTAAGGGGCGCGAGAACGACAAGCCTTCCACGCTTTTTCTTAGTACTCCGTATACCAAGACCTCCATGCTTCGAGTCCCAGACTCCCAAGAGCCAAGAGACCAAGTCTCCGTGCCTTCGTACCAAAAGAAGCAGAAAGCGAAAAGAGACACACACGACACGGGGTGGGGACGAGGATGCGACGGCGGCCTCGGACGCTCCGATAAGCGCATACCCCGTAAATGTTGATAACTCTCCATCCCATGGAGCCGGCCCAAGAATAACGATCCGCACACGGCAAGACGGGATGCAGCCAGCTCGTCATTTCCGCAGGCCACATCGAAACTGCCACGCTGCGAAGGATGGCAAACCCGCAACAAATAACCCAGTTGCTTAACCGAGCGATTCGCCCTCCACTTTTTCGACTTGCAAGTCGAGCGTGTGTGGAACAAACTCGACAGTCCGGACACACAAGTGGCGCCGGACCCTCGATAAGCTGGGGGACGGCACCCTCGGGGGGCAGGTGACTTTCGGGTGACGGGGGGGACGCTGTAGATTCTGACAACGTTTTGGGGCAATGCCCAAGAGCCAAAAGAAGCTTTCCGCTCCTCTCTTCTTGGCCTCTCCGCCGCAGCCAAGACTGCCAAGTCCTTAGCGCCAAGGGCTACGCGCAATCCAAATGTCCTCGCCTGTTGTCGGCTGGTTGTCGCCCCCTCTTCTCGACATGTCCACGATACAGTCGCCGCTCCCCTATGGTCAGCCAGAAGCCGTTCAAACCGGCTCGTCCAGAAAGTGTTGCGCAATACCGCCTGTTATGGCCCACGCAAGGGAAGCCGATGTGCCGGGCGTTGGTCATCGCATTCGGTGCGGGTGAGATGCGGTGGAGCTCGCCAAGCTTTAAATACGTGGATGAGGGAACTTGAACGTTTTCCCTAAACCGAGAGCTTGAAAGCAAGCACAGATGGGAAATCGAAAAAGATTGGGTTGGGGTGGTGGGCGAGGGTGCGGCGTGCGGCGTGGTGAGGAGGGTGAGATGCCGTGTGCCAAAACGACGCAGCTGTCGGGGTCCGAGGGATACGTACCTCCGAATAGGTTAGGTAGGTACGATACGGAGTAGGTACTGTGGCACTGCGTGCCTCGAGTCGACACCAATAGAAGTTACCACAGTACGCAGTACCAACCCAGCCTCGATCCGCCAAGACTCATTTCTAGTATTGGCAGGTACCTCTCGACCCCCTCCCCTTCCCCTTCCCAAGATCATCCCGTCCCTGACCGGCCATCCACAGATTCCTCCCCAGTGTGGCAGTTCACTTTCTCCCTTTACACTCAACCACCACTCAATCCCCTACGGTTTCGTTTTATTTTGCCTTTCGACTATCTAATTTGCCTTCTCGTTGTCGGGTTCCCATCACGGCACTTAGCAATTTGTGTAATACACTGCATCGCAAACGCACCGGCACAGCCATCTTTTTCTTAAGTTGGTCGATCCAGCCAGATGTCGCCCCGTCGATTACCTTAAAACATGCACTCAACGTGCCAACGTGCCCGAGGCTTGACGCCCGTCCATACATAGTAGTGTCATATTCACAAGTATTCAGGTGAGCGGGTCGCTTAACTCTTGGCAGTTCGACCCACGATGGCGGTACGCCAATTGGTGTCAGACTGCTCCCCTACTCCCCTTGGTGAACGGTCTCGTCGACCAGTCGACTTGACCTTCTCCCTCCTAGCTACGGCGCCAAGCTTGGTCGAAAAAAGAAGACATGAGCCCAAGAACGACGAGCCGTCTCACAAACCATGCCATCGCATCATGGCCGACCCCGCCTGTCCACGGGATCCCTCACTGGCATGGTGTGTTCGCTGCAGACCATTCCCAAGAACTCGAGTATCAGCAAAACCTGATAATTTGCCGCTTCAAAGCCCAGCCAGACGAAAGCTGGGCGTTCTTGGCTGCAGATACCAAGCACCTTCAGCCTGTATCCTCCATCCTGTCCACCTTGCGCCCGCCGCTTCGCCGTTCAATGAGGCTGTGCAGGCAATGCCAAGACCTGCGAGGATGGGTGGTTTCGCCCTGGCTTCAACTCTCGCCAGTCCAAGGGGGGGGGGGCCACATCGCCAGCGCTCTACACTCAATCAGAGGAGAAGCAATCAAAACGAGGCCTTTAACAAGTCTTGGCATTGCTCCTTTCACACTCACTGGCCGCCACATGCATTCTATTTGCGCGATTTGTGAGTTTGTTTAGCCCGTCTCGACGATGCTTGAGTCTTACCACATCCTCCTCCATCAACAGATTGACTTTCACTCCCTCTACCCGAATCGGTGATTGCTCGTTCCACACTCTCACTAACATGGCTCGAAGAATTAAGGTTCTCGAAGGAATACCCGCACACTTTGTGCAGTCCTGCATGGTCATCATCCATTGGCTGTGCCGCCAGAAGGGTCGCCGATGTGCCACGAGCCCGATGAGCCTGCCAATGCCACGGGAATTTACCAAGCTTTCCGGCGAAATCTTGGATGCACGACACCCGAGCGAGAAAACGACCGCACCATCAGCAACATGACTGCCCGCACGCCCCAGATGCAGCTACAGACCACAATGACTCTTTCGAGTTTTGAGCCATCATCCACGCTGGAACTCTCCACGTTTGGTCGCAGTTATTCCAGACTCAATCAGACCACCGTGTTCGCCTCCCCAGACGATCGCGACAACCCCGGCAGTTCAAGGACGAGTGGTCCCCCGAAAAGCCCCAGATGCGGAGGGTCGAATGGGGTGCTTGTGTTCGGACGCCAGGCCGAGATTAGGAAGGACTCTGCAAGTGGTGTCCTGGCTCGGCGGGATCAGGCCAAGATGCCAGTAGGACTTCTTGCATAGTGGGCTTTGCTCCATTCCCATCTTGCCCATGCACTCTTGGCCTCCGCTTACGAGCTCCAGACTTTGAAGGACCTTCTTGGCTTCTGACCATGGGCCGCAAAGCGCGTGGGCATGGTATTGCGTTGTGCAACAGTTCTTTGGAACCTCTCGGCGTCTTGGCTTTAGCTTGAGCGCTTTCTGTCTGGCCTTGGATTACATCAAGCCTCAGCACCGACTGGCTTACAGGTGGAGTGGCCAAGGCCCACAGCCATCTTCCAATTTCACATCCGTACTCCCTTCTACATGCCGTAATTAATGCTGATGGGCAATACAGGAGAGAAAGAGCGCAAAAAGGGAACGCCAGGTCACATATCAACCCCCGTTATTCAGAGGCTCTGAAATCACAGCGCAACCCTACGGAAACAATCTTGAAATTCGGGCGATATTTTAGAGTATCCGGAGCCTCTCAAATCCAAGACGGCAACGCCTTGGTTTGGCCTTGGCTCCATCTTGGCCGGGCAATTTTGGCAATGATCAAGAGTAAGTCTTGAGTTTCGGGGGACTGAAACGTCTGCCGGTCTCCGGTACCCGGGTGGACAACAGACGAACGTCGACGAGTGGGCCGTGTTGTCAACTGGCGATTAGCCGTGCTATCAATTGGGAGAGCAGCGACCTATCTTTTCTTGGCGTTTGCATGCCAAACGACGATCTCTATTGCGACCATTTGTCTCCTGTTTGCCAAGCATCCTCACCAGCGTTCTATCAAGCGACTTACGAGTAGTCGCTCGTCAATGCTGTAGGCAAAGCAGCTACCTAGATCCGGGCCAGATGCCCGTGATCAACTAGAAGCGGAGTCTTGGTGAGCAGATGCGACCTAGCTCCGACAACAGCTGCCGCTGTTCGATGGCGATGGTGAGAATTTCCGACGAGGCGTCGGTCCTGGCACACGAAGTTTCCTCCGGACTGCTCCAATGCTGTAGTTTTCGGTTCAAGAAGCCTGCTACTGTCGTACTGGACCAGAATATCCATCTTGCCTGTGGCCAGAGGTAATCCCCACTTGCAGAAAATAGCTGCAACCCAACCCCTGGCCCCCTTTCTCCTTATCGTCGTTTTGTTTGTTTCCATTGCTGTTTCCAGCTATTTCTGTTTCCCGCTGTTCATTTATCAAATCGATCTATTCGACCCTCCGAAATGACCCGACCGTTCACACCCCATGAGACGCCAAGAATCAGAACTTGCCCCAATGCTTGACCAACATGAACAAAGTCACCGACTGAAGGTGTCTCCGCCTCAATCTGCGGACCAAATTTCCCTTATTCAGCAAAGTCGAAGTAAAGAGGTCCGGTGCATCGTTAGCCTGGACATGGCAGCCAAGTGGGCGGCAAAATGGGATGCTAGCTTACAAGATTCTAACACTTACTTGCCTGTTTACTATGCCTGATCTTCTTATCATTTTTGTTGTTACTATTATAATTTTTGTTTCTCGTGAATTCCTATGAGAATACCCTTAAATGAAAGACTAGAGAAATATGGATATTAGGAATAGAAATAACAGGAAAGGAGTTAGGGAGGGTACCGATTGAGCGGCAACCGATTTTGTCACCTACTTGGCAGCGTAATGCAGGCCACTGTCGCCTTCGCCCTCAGATTGCGGCATGATGCAGTTCTAGGTCACGGCTCCTTCTCAATGAGGCCTCCTGTCCCTTTCTTCCGCGACACAAGCAGTGTCCAGTGTGTCACGTCTTCAGAAGAAGAAATCTAGTGATTTGCTCCTGAGTGGGGTAGACAACTGAAGGATAGATCTGGACTATCGAGTGGCAAATTCCCGCTGCATGGGCTCGATGCAAAAGTAAGGAGGGAGCTCCAGTTCCTGGTTCAGAAAGAGTCGATGGAATGCTTGAGCGTCCGTCGCTGTGGCTTTCGTGGTCTTGCAGGCTTCGAAGGCGATGACATTAACGCACCGGTCTCATTTGCGTCTGACATCCTCTCTCGCTTGTATTGCTATTGCTATGTCTATTCTTGCCAGCTACAGGAGCCAGCTCATGTGGAGGCCGTCGGAGTATCTTCGTTCCTGCTATGCAATCGTGTGCGGAATATTCTTTGAAGTGGTCATTAATCCCTCGTTGTTCCCTTACTTCGGACCAATTCTCCCTGCCCCTGCTCTCTGGGGGAGGCCGGTCTCCTCGTAGATGCTCTTGACCACAATAAGGCGATGGTGCCTTCCTCTGTGCATCATGACCACTCATTCGTGTTGTACGATAGACATCGGACACAAACCAGAGAACCAACGGGATCCTTTGAAGATTTGGGCACGCCACACTCTACGAGCTGCTATACTTGACTACTGAGATGCCTGAAGAAGCCACGCTGAGCACGACGATCATCTCGCGGGACGCCTCAAACACGTCTGCTAATGAGGTTGCGAGCCATCTTACAGTACAGTCCTTCTCTACGCCGTGCCTATGATCCAACACTTGCGAGACGGCCTACGCATAGTCATTGACCTCTTGTCATGCTGTCTCGTCACCGTATGTGGTAACAGTTATTGCCCAACAACAAAGGCGAACAGCCCTCGAACACTCTTGGCTTTGTAATCTTGCTAACCCCCTGACAATGGCCGCGCCTCAAAGATGCAATCTACAGATCTTCACTCCATGACCAGCACGCTCCTAAAGCGCACCTCATTCGACATCATACGCTCCACCGCTTCAGGCGCCTCGCTCAACGGGAACTTCTCAATCAGGCACTTGACGCCTTGCTTCCTCGAGAACTCGGTCGCGTCCTCCGAATCCCGCGCGTGCCCACTAGGCCACCCATGAACCGAACAGCCGCCCGCGATCAAATGCAACGAGCTGATTTCGATGTTCCCAACCGCCGCGAGCACCAACAACTTGCCGCGCACCCGCAGCGCGCCCGTAAGGGGGCTAATAGCCTTTGCACTCGGCGCCGCCCAGGGCCTTGAGCCTCGCCACGGGGTCCTCGACGCTGCTGTCGATGAAGCACTCGGCACCCAGCTCAGACGCGAAATCCACTTTCGCGGCGCCGGAGCTGATGGCCGCGACGCGGTAGCCCATCTTGGTGGCGTACTGCACGGCGAGGTGGCCTAGGCCGCCGAGGCCTTGGACAGCGACGAGGCTTCCTTGGGTAATCTCCATCTTGCGGATGCCGTTGAAGACGGTGACGCCGGCGCAGAGGAGGGGCGCCGTCTCGGCGGGGTCGAGGTCTGCTGGGACGCGGACGACGGCTTGGGCGCGGAGGGTGACGTATTCTGCGTAGCCTCCGTCGCGGGTGACGCCGTTGATTGAGCCGTTTTGGCAGGATTGGAATTGGCCTAGCTGGCATGTTGCGCAGGTTCCGTCGTGGCCTTGTATGGACGTCAGTTGAGTGTGCTTCAACATGATCTCCCTCCCCAAAGACCCCTCTCATCTCCGGCTTGATTATAATCCAAAGGTTTCCAGAGAGTACAAACTCACCTCCATGCCAAGCTCCTCCAACGCGCTCGCCGCCCGGGACGCGGGGATGACGGGGCCGAATTCGCCTTTTTGCATGCCGACGTCCGAGTGGCAGATGCCGCAGGCGAGCACCTTGACGAGGACCTCGCCTTTCCCTGGCGCCTTTAACTCTGCCGTCCGGAGTTGCAGAGGGGCGCCTGCCTCCTTGACCTGCCACGCCTTATACGTCTTTGGGAGGGACATTGCTACTGGAGTTAGATGAGGAGATGGTGAGAGAGAGAGAGAGAGAGAGAGAGAGAGAGAGAGAGAGAGAGAGAGAGAGAGAGAGAGAGAGAGAGTGAGTGAGTGAGTGATTGTTGGATGTTGTGTTGTCAAGATCTCGTATGGGTTTTTTGTTCCAATATGTATCTTCTCCTGGAGATGGGTCGCTTATGTAGCCTAGGGTTATGTGAATGTTGCCGAAAGGACAACTGTGGCAACTGCGATACAACTTTTTCTCGTGATGTCAACAGTTGATGTTTGGAAAGTGATGCTTCGTAAGAAGGTATCGTTGATTTGTGATCCGGCGATACTGACTAACAGAGGCCGCGCCGAGTGCCCACTTCACGGTATTTACGTCTAGTGTCCCCGTTACATCCCTCTCATCGACCGGCTTTTAACAAGATTGTATCTCAATCTTGGCTCCTCAAGTAGAGGTCTAGGTTTCTTCAGATCGTTGCCGGAGTTTGTGTCCTACTATGTTGGGCATCGTAGCAGGGATAGGGGTGCGGCGTATGGAGTAACCCGTGAGGCCGTGTCCAGCGGGAAAGAGATATCTTCTTGGTAGGTCAACAGCAGAATCAAGTGATGTACGAAAAGGCCGATGCCGAAAAAGGCCGTAACGGCTCCGGCTGGACTGGACGGGGTCGGCTCGGCGCCGACTCGAACCACCAATCATCCGGCTTTGAATTATGTGCCAACGAAGACCTCCATGGTCAATTGTTATTTCAGAGGTTCCCATGACTATCTCATAATCAGGACAGTAGGCTCATAAATGAGTGGAGATGCAGGAGTGAAACCTGTCATGTATCGAGGTTAGAAGATGGAAGCCCGGGGGAATGTGAAGGAAGTCTCGTGAGGTTCTTGAACTGAGGTACTCCGTGAAACATTCGAAGAAACGAAGATTCGATTACGCCCCAGTGGTTATACTCTCCTGCTGATTACGGCTCATTTCAGTAATAAAATTAACAACCAAAACCAAAAACGCGTCAAAAATGAAATCAAGATGCCGCTCTAGATCACGTAACATCACCTCCCAATCATTCACTCATACACCACCCGCCCCTGAGACCCAGAATCTAGGCCTTTTTAACCTTTTCCTGGCCTCTTTGGAAAATCTTGTTCTTAATCACCGCATCGTTCAACCCCGCCCCCGCATTCATGGTCCCATCAAACACCGTCCTCGGCCCAAACGCATTCAAGAACCAAACAAGCCACGCGTTCGTACCCTTCCACACATACGGGCTCCCGCCGCTCTTGAGCACAAGCGGCACTACCTGCCTCGCAAACTCATCAGGCTTCATCGTCGTCTTCTCGTGCGTGGCGCTGCGCTCCCGCACCTTATCCTCGGCGTCGACGTACAGGCTGTCCCTGTCGAAGCTGATATTGTTGGCCTGGATGATGGAGGTGGCCACCTCGCCCATGTAGACCGTCAGCACGCGCAGGCCGAGGGGCGCGACCTCGAGACGGAGGGTGTCAGAGTAGGCCGCGACGGCGGCCTTTGTGGCGTTGTAGCCTGACGTGAAGGGCCCCGGGAGGCGGGCGAGCACGGAGGCGACGTTGACGATTGTGGGTTGCTGGGAGGATTGGGAGGTGGAGACGGCGGCGAGGAGGAGCGGGGTGAAGGCTGTCACCATGTCGAAGAGGCCGAAGACGTTGGCGTCGAACATTTGGCGGGTGCGGTAGGAGTCTGCTTCTACTGCTGGCGCTTCGTAGACTTGATGCCGAAAAATACTATGTTAGTTGCTCCGTGCTTCACAGGTTCTATTATTGGGGAGGAGTGTCAGATGGGGAAGAAGGACTCACGAGCACCCGCATTGTTGTACAGAATGTCAAGGGTACCGCCTGTACGTCTTGAAATCTCCTCTTTTACGCTAGCGATACTCTGCGAGCTCGTCACGTCGAGCGTGAGCGTTTCGATGCCCTTTTCTGTGAGGTTCGCCACCGACTTAAGCGAACGGGCGGTTGCGAAGACGCGCAGGCCTTGGGCTGCGAATGCGAGTGCCAGCGTGTTACCGACACCCCCTTGGGAGCATCTATCAGAGACATGTCAGCGTTCCAAGCGTGGGGAATGCAAAGTAGAGGAGCATAGAAGGTATCTCGGAGGCAACCACACTTACCCTGTGATGAGGACTGTTCGCTTGGTAGGCGATGACATGATTGCAGGGTGGAACTGAAAATTGGCTATGAATGGTGAGAACTTGGAAGATTGAATAAGCTGGATGAGTTGAATAGGTTGTCCAACCATGCAATCTCGAGGTGGAAATCGCGTACGACTTAAGTAACTAGACGATAGATGCAATTTGGAATACAATGGCCCCCAATTAGTACCAATATATCTTAGCCATTAAAATCGAGAAAAACAGTCAAAACTTTAGCCATGATGACAGATCTCAAGTTGTGTGCGTCGAAGTTGAAGACTATTGGTAAGCTCGTAGAGAAAGGCACTTTAGAAGATTAGAGCGAGTGGCGTGTGCTTTCGGAGCCTTCAGATACTCCATTCTCCGCCGTCTTGAAAGGCGACCGGGCAAGCCATCGCCCTCTCTACGTCTTTATCCGGAAGAAGGGGCCGGACAGGGCCTCGGGATGACAAAGACTGGCTTCCAGCACGTAGAAGTTTTGGTCCCATTTTATCGCCTTGTCTCCTATACCGCTCGCGTGTGGTGAGTAAACCATAATCGTCCCGGGGGCTGTTTAATAATCGCCTCCGAGAAAGTGGAGACTCTCCGGCGCCGATTTGAATGCATCCGTAGCCCGTCAAATGTGGGGCTTTAGTCCCATCCGCAACTCGTTGGTTGATCGTCCGTCTGCTATCCGCAACTCCGCAACAGCAGCAAGGCGAACAGGCCACTTGCGGTTCGTGATTGCGCATCATGGCGAACGGAACGTGCTTAATAATGTTCAGTTTTGGGTTTCAGCATGAGAGAAAGCATACGGAGAGATGAGCATAAAATGACAATTGAGGAACGATGTCTACGTAAAGATTCCGGTATCCTTCTTCATTACCACCAAATTGCAATCAATCTTTCAAGCAAATACACGGAACCATTACATGTACACAAAAATGTCTTCCAACCACGCCATCGTCATCCAGGGAGCAGGCAAGGCCTCAGTCGTCGAAGCTTCCATTCCCAAGCTCCGCGACGACTACCTCATCGTCAAAGTCAAGGCCGTCGCCCTGAACCCCACCGACATCCTCCACATCGACCTCTTTGCCGTCAAAGGAGCCCGCGTGGGCTGCGACTACGCCGGCATCGTCGAAGAGGTCGGCTCCAAGGTCGCAAAGTCCTTCAAGAAGGGCGATCGCATCGCCGGCGTCGCGCACGGGTCCAATGCCGTGCACCACGAGGACGGCACCTTTGCCGAGTACATCACCGTCAAGGGCGACCTGCAGCTCCACATCCCGGACAACGTCACGTTCGAGGAGGCCGCCACCCTCGGCGTTAGCGTGACAACCGTGGGCCAGGGCCTGTACCAGAGTCTCGGCCTGCCGTACTTTGACCAGCCCAGCACCGAGAAACTGCCCGTTCTCATCTACGGCGGGAGCACGGCGACCGGCGCGCTGGCAATCCAGTACGCCAAGCTGTCTGGTCTGTACGTCATCACGACGGCCTCGCCTCATAATTTTGCTTACCTGAAGAAGCTGGGTGCCGATGAAATCTTGGATTACAAGTCTGCCACCGTCGCGGAGGACATCAAGAAGAGCGCGGGCGGCAAGCTGAAGCACGTGCTGGACTGCATTTCCTCGGAATCGTCTGCGGACATCAGCGTCAAGGCGATCGCGGAGGACGGCGGCGTCTACTCCACCCTGCGGCCCGTGCCGGCGGAGCTCGTCTCGGCGATCAACAGCAAGGTGACGCCCAAGATGACGCTAGCGTATACTGCCATCGGTGAGCCGTGCCAGTTTGGCCCGCAGGCCTTGCCGGCGATCCCGGCGGATTTGGAGTTTGGGAGCAAGTTCTGGGCTGATACCGAGCGGCTGTTGGGGGAGGGCAAGATTGTGGCTCACAAGCCTACTGTGAATGAGGGTGGAAGCGGCCTCGAAGGCGTCCTGAAGGGTCTTGATCTTGTTAGACAAGGCAAGGTGAGCGGAACCAAGTTGGTTTATATTGTGTCGTAGTAGGTCAGAGGTCAGGAAAAGCGATTCGGACTTGCACCAATTATGAGTAACAATCAAAATGCTTGAATGCGAATGCTTCACAAGTGAAACCACGATGTGTCCTGGCAGGTTCGCGAATTTGCACAATCCTACGGGGCTAGAATTTTGTCATGATTTCCATGCCTTCGATTTTATCTGTTTCCTCTGAGAATCTCACCAATCCGAACTGCAATTAGTGATCATAGGTGGGATGGCACTTGGAAACTTTGCTTGGGTGATGGGTTCGGAGACCAGGACACCGGAGCCGAATGCTACAGGGATGTGGTCTCCCGAACCCGAGCGCCACTTGCCCGATTTGTCCGCTGGCGAGAGCCCATTGGCAGTCAAGGTAACAGAACTGCAGATGTTTTGCAGGTCAGCGGCGGGAGGAAGATGGTGTGGCGCATGCAGGTCGTCATGGAGTTGAAGTGTTCAGACTGCTTGACAACTCTTTAGATAGCGACACGTCGTATGTTCGCGGGTCTGAACTTCTTGCATAAGTCTGCATCGAAGAAAGTCACAGTGTTGATTTGAACAAGCAGATACTAGTGCTCCTGTATCCCAAGGATTGTCGCACTTTGCAGGAGAGTTTCTCGTAAAGGAAAACAGATAATCTGGTACAGTCTAAGGAAAATTTGATGTACATCGAATCGAGTGTTGCCCTGCATCGGCTATACTTCCTCTAGAGACACCATTCCGCACCCCCATTCTTATACCGCCTGACTATCCACTTGGTAGAGCCAAACATCGATAGATCTACTTGCAGTCTGATCAAATGCCGAAGACCGAGTAAAGAACCTCGGCTCCTACCTGCTAGTATAGAATGCAAGGAGGCTTCTGCGTTTAC